TTGCGAGGTTGTTCAAGATGAAAAGTCCGACTAGGTCGCATACTTCTGCGCTGTCAAAGCTTCCCATTGTTACATCAAACATACCGTCGTTGTCTTTTTTCACCCAAGGTGATCCGTTGTGAAGTAGGATTGATTTTCAGGAGTGCATGATAATATTAGTGTCTTGGTGATCTTGGTGTGTTTCCTGGCGAAGTGGATAGCGTTGGTTTGTAGTTTTTCAGATATGGAAGGGTAGAAGCTTTCGATGTCGAATACGGTGAAGGTGTGTAGGTGTGTACTAACGTACTGGTGCACTAAACAAATGAAGAACAAGCCGTGATGAGTTGTCCGTACCGAGTGCTATGGTACTAACATACTAACGCACTAAACAACGGATGAACAAGCCGTGATGAGTTGTCTGTATGGAGTACTACATTACTAACGTACTAAACAAATGAACATGTCGTGGTGAGTGTACTACAGTACCAACGTACAAGCGTACTAACCAGATGAGCAACCTGTGGTGGGCGTTCTTACCGACTACTCCAGTATTAATGCACTGGCGCCCGTAACAAATGAACTACAAGCCAATGTGAGTTCCCGTTCTGAGAGCGTTTTAGACGGCCTCTGATTGACGCAGAGTTCATTGTGAACACGCCGGACACTCAATGTTCACTCACTATCTTTTCCTGAGTTTCCTTTAAAGAGGACACGTGCCCTTTAACTGTTGTCCTCTCATCATCACCGTCGTTTCCTTGTCGTTGATGACGCTTTTCTTGAGAAACGGTCGATATCTAATAGCTGCCTCAACTTTCAGTTCCCTTGGTTCCATAATCAATGATAAGTAGAAAACTTCAACTAGACACTTGTTCCATAATAACTTTTCCCGTGGCATTCCTCGTATAAACTATATTGGGACTGTAGTTACCACGCCGAAGAGAACGCGTTCAGTTGTGCGACATATATTCAGCTATTTTGACCACTAAACCAGTTGAGCCTATACAGCTAGTTGTGCGTTTTGTTTGGTTGAACCATTTTAACTAGTTTTACCATTTTAATTAGTTGAACCATTTCAGCTAGTTTTTCCATTTTATCCAGTTGAACCAGTTCAGTTAATTTTTGCATGTTATCCAGTTGAATAATTTCATCTTGTTTGACCATTCAACGTATCAGTTGTAGTTGTTCAAGGATTGGTATTTATAATGAAAAGCGTGGCTGAATGAACACATAAACACACGGATAGTGCATTAACAACGTTAGCCGGCTAAAGAGTTAGAGAGGAACATCCACGAATGGTCCAATTCATGAAACTACAGATACTAGTGACTGGACCAGGAGTTAACTCATTCCTATCAAATGCTCGCTCAAGCATAGAAAAAGAAGAAATAATCACTATGATATGCGTAATATGGTTTCTCTGAAAATCCACCCTAGGAAAAGTGCAACCTTTAACGAATACTGTGCAAAAACGCCGTAATCTGTTATACCTTTCAAAGCAAAAATATATCACATAAAATGCGTTCTCTTCGGCGTGGTAACTACAGTTCCAATATAGTTTACACGAGGAATGCCACGAGCTGTAAGGTATCAACGGTTTCTCGAGAAAAGCGTCATAAACCATAAGGAAACGATGGTGACGATGAGAGGACAACAGTAAAAGCAGAGCTCAAAGATAAAACAAACTTCCTCGTTAAGTTTGTTTCCAAAACGCAGCACATGTATCTCGATCGATAACTAGACGCCATCTTGGATTTAGGTGAGCTTGAACGTTGCATATCATCCATTCTATTGTCCACTTTGTTAAAGATCTTTTCCCTAACTTAATTTCTAGAACGATGACAGCGTAAAAAAAGGGTTTGTTTGTCTTTGAAAATGGCGACCAACTTTTTTTGAATTGGCTACCACTTTGAAGAATTTAGGAGCCAAGTGGCTATCAGGAAAAAAAAATTAATTTCACGCCCTGACTCGGTACGAACAACTCCTCATGGCTTGTTCTTCATTTGTTTAGTGCGCTAGTACGTTAGTACCTTAGTACTTGGAAAGGACAACTCATCGCGGCTTGGTTAATTTCATTAATTAATCATTCCTTAGCACAGATGTAGTTAAACAGATAAAAGAAAGCTAAAGTTTCAGGCTTATAATGGGCAAGAACAGCATATTGAACAGTGCTAGATATGCACTTTTAGTACTGTAGTACTGATGAATAAACGAAATACTAAAGGAGAGCGTGCTTCATACTAACTGTCAGATATTAAATAGATAGATCTATAGATGGATGGATGGATGGATGGATGGATGGATGGATGGGTGGATCGATAGATCGACAGATCAATAGATTGATAGATAGATAAAGATCTGTAGATTGATAGATAGATAGAGATCTGATATAATAGATATATAGATATACAGATATATATATATATATATATATATATATATACATATATAGATAGATAGATAGATAGGTAGATAGATAGATAGATAGATAGATAGATATGGATATCAGAGGATTATGATACTCATCAGGAATAGTATGATACTACAGTTGTACCCAATATTGTTTCAGGTTGCAGATCCCTTCTATGTGTTCCAGTTCTGCAGCATTGTTTTATGGTCAACTGAGGATTACTACTACTATGCTCTTGCCATTTTGATAGTCACAGTGGTTTCAATAACAATCACAGTATACCAAACAAAAGTGGTAAGCCATGCACTACTTGTCTTTCCCCATAAACATGTATAATCCAACGTAAAAAAGCTGTTTCATTGTGGTTGCTAAATTTCAGGCAAGCCTGCACCAAACTGGTTTATATGAAACAAACCATTATGGACTCTAGCTTGAAAAAATCTGGCCTGTGACATTTGTTTGGTGGTTTATGGGTTTGACAAGCCTTTTAAATCAGTTGTATTATAATGCATATAAAAATGTTTTAATTTGTACCTTGCATTATGTTTCTTTGGTCAGGTTATTGAGAATTATGCCACAATTATAGCCCTAAATTCTTTTTTTCTGCAAGAAATTCCCTAGACCTTGACTAGCCAAGGTCAGTCCTTACTGAGAAAAACTGTAACCTCTGTCTTGAGTACCACTATCAGCCTGGGTCTTTTTCTCAGCTGGATCATTTGTAGTGATTCTAATGTTTGCTCCATTTTTCTTCTCTCTTGGATTTACAATGGCACATATATATACCCTGATGCATGATACCATGTAACTTCCCACAGGATGCTTTTATATTGCAAGGAGTCTGAGAGAAATGAAATCCCAGCTCAAAATCTACGCACTTTATTTTGGCAAGCATTATTTATTTATAAATCAGAATTAACTTCACATTTACCCAAATTTATTAATAATATTATGCAGTGTTAATTGTGCAATCATATGACTAAGTAAGTTTTTTTTTTAACAGCATCTTGAGAGATTGCGAAGCATGGTGGCAGTGTCAGAGAGAGTCACTGTGTTGCGAAATAATGCAGGTACTCTGTTTAAATGTACGAGAAAGTTGACAACAACCACATTGATTTGGTACCAATAAGTACAATCAAAATGGAATTGTTAGGGAACCAACCAATCAGAGTTGAGCATAATGCTTCAAAAGTTTACCTGAAATTAGTATTCTCTATTTTCCAATTAAATGACTAGCAGTATGTTGTGGAAATATCTTGATCACATCAGCACCGGCTACATTACGGGACAAGTTAAAAGTTCTTTGATATTAGTGTATTCATCATATTGAACAGCTATAACATTTCCCATGTTTTGTATCAAATAGTTCGTAATTTTTTTAGTGCAAAGAAGTTGCAGACCAAGTCAAACCTATCCTTTTCATAATTTGTTTGTGATGCATTATGAAGTTGAAATTCCTGTTGGAAATTGATGTACAAGGAATTTTTGTCAGGCTCTCTGAGTGGGTAATGTTCGTTAGTTTTCAGGTTGATGGTGACATCTAACAAATTGTCCACCTTTTAGTTGCTCCATGCTGTAATTCTTAACCCAAGATCAAAGAGAATTTCATAGAAGACTTTTCTGGTTTTTTCACTAGATCTTGTGTTCATGGTTGTAAATTCTGCTCATCTGTTGCAGCTGAAAAACACTTTTGACTGAGGGGCCTATTGCCATTTGCCAATGTTGACAGAGAAACTAAAATTCACCTTGAATTACACAGATCAAATAGATGTATCATCTGATGAACTTGTTCCTGGTGATTTGCTGGTCATTCCACCTAATGGGGCACAAGTTCACTGTGATTCTGTCCTTATTAGTGGTAACTGTATTGTCAATGAGAGCATGCTAACAGGTAAAAAATTAGACAAAAATTATTGCAAATATGGAGAGAATATTCTCATTAGTTCCATTAAGGTAAATAGGTTGTGTTACTATGAGGAATTTGTGTAGTAATGTATCTAATGTTTAGGTTAGATAAAAACTAATACAAATGCAGTCATAGCATATATGAGTTAAAAGAAAGACATTGTCATTAGTTCAAAATTTTTTATATAGTTAGCTTGAAAACATGCAGCCCAAATGTGAGTTTCACCATAAGTTGGTCCCAAATACTCAACCGGAGACTTAACACGATGTTATTTTTTATCCTTTTAAGCCAAAAGACTCACAGTACCCTTTAACAATTTTGTAGTAAAAAACGACCCAGCTCTCATTCTTTGCACATTTTCATGTTCTTATTTAGACCTCCCCTCAAAGGAAAAGTGGGTCTGCAACCTGTCTTGGGTCTGCAACCAGTCAATCACAACAACCCTATAATTGACACCAACTATATTTACAGTTATGATGCTTGCATTTGCATTTAGATTCTTTGAGCTTCTCTTCAGCTGTGGAACCCTGCACTCTTCTTTTCTGGGCCGGGCTTCATCCCTTCCCCTCTACTTTCAGGGGGCTGATTTGACTTGCCTTTCGAATCTCCAATGGGCACACTTCCTAAAGAGGTTGGTAATGCTGTGTCTCTTGTGCAGCAGGACCATGCCTCTAACCACTCCATCCTTACCTTGAACAAGGCCTAACACCCTTCCTTTCCTCTATTCCCACAATTCTTCTCATTTCCAACAATGAGAACGACCTCCCCAACTGTAGGTGTTGTGTCAAGTTCCTTTTATGGCCAGTGGTTTTCCATTAGGCTGTGGACCTACTCTTTCTTTCATCGCCTCCATGCTTGGGCTTTAGTAAAATCCAATCTCCTTTTCACCCTTGTCAGGTTTTCTCCACCTTCATCAATGTCCTGTATAGAATAGGTATCTCACCTCTACATAATCCCAGTTTGTGACGTTACAACTTCTAAATGGACTACTCTTGAGCTTACGCAAGTGAAACTGATGATGTAACACTTTCCCTGTTCCCTTTGTCATTTGCAGTGGACAGTGGGGGCCATAAAAGGCAGGGGGCTACTTTGTTTTAAGCTCACTCTGACTCTTACAGTCAAATGAAATGGGCAGGCTAACAATTGTTTTTATTTCATACAGGTGAAAGTGTTCCAGTCACAAAGATTCCATTGCCTTATATAAAGAGATTATCAAACAGTCCTTTGGAACAGAGAGAAGACCAGTATAGCCCAGAACGGCACAAGAGACACACTCTCTTTAATGGCACCAATGTCATACAAACCCGTTACTATGGGAATGTCAGGGTGCTAGCAGTTGTTGTTAGAACAGGTAGATGGACATGTATGAGCTCTGTTTAATGATATTCTATGTAGAAAATGCATGTGAACAGTTTTTAATTTATCAAAACTTGTTGAACCTGTATTAAGTGGAACTGTATTGATCTATGTGATGAAATCCCTACTCCTGGGAAACTTTAAGGATCATTCTGATGCAACTGCTTCAAGGATACAGAGCCAACCGCCATTATTTGCTTGCTGAAAGAATGATGTAAAGCTCTCTTCTTCACCTCTTTACACTACAAAGAAGCATAAATCCTTACATTACTTATGGTCCTGAACTTGAAAGTTGTAGAGTGTAGAAAGTATTGTGTTCTTATTTGTTTACCATGTCTAACTGTCATTATATGTACCTGCAAAAGAAATAAATATCCTACAAAAGTTGACATGTTAAACTTTGCAGAAGTACCTGAATATTCTTTTCTTCTCTATATGGCAAAGTGCTCTTACATGTCAATAGTGTTCATAGTGTTCATGCATGTCAAATTTTGACAACCACACTCACTCTGTCTAATTTTGAATCTTCAGGATTCTCCACAACCAAGGGTGGCTTAATGCGTTCCATTCTTAGTCCAAAACCAGTTGGCTTCAAATTCTTCCGTGATTCTATGCGTTTTATTGGCCTTATGACAATTCTTGGTAGGATCCATCCTAATATTGCATTGTGCTGTATGAAGTTTTTGGTTGATCTCTGCTAATGTCTATTGTAGGAAATCTCTATACATGTTTAAGCATCAGTTCAGGACCTGCTCATCGTATATCTACTTAAATTATTCACAGTGGGTTTAAATTGTTAACTTTCATTAAATGTTCCTGCAGGAAGCATGCTCAGCAATGCAAGCTCTTTTTTGAATGACTCATACACATGTACTTTCTTTTGTTTCAAGATGATGCATCAATCAATTTGAAGCTTCAACATCCTTGCTCTGGTGAACCCCCGAAGTCCTTAAACTTTTTAAAATTGGTTTGTTAAAATTCCTACCCCCATGGTCCAAAATTGTGCTCAAATGTATTAGCAAAGTGCTGGATTTCAAGGTCAATTTCTTTGTTAAGGCAAGATCAGTGACTGTGACTTTCTTGTATACCTTTCCATCTTAGCCATTTGCTTGTGAAAGTGAACTCTTTTCCTTTAAATACTGTAGTATTTAACGATAAATAGTAATAAGATAGACATTTATTCCATTGGAATGACCAGACAGTTCAGGTTCAAATTTCCCACCCCATGCAAGCAAGGTTCAAATTCCCTGCCCCCCCAGGCATGGAGGGTGGTCAACAGTCAAGTGCCTGTGGGTTGCCAGGAGATGGTTGAGGGGATGTTGAAGCTTCAACCTGATCAGCACATAAGAGTGAGACAGTTTTACCTTAGATGATGGTCACTGCTGGACATAACTTTTCCAGGCTCATAAAAAGACTAAGATGAATGAATGATGTTTACTGTTTGTTGATGTATGATAACTTACAACTTTGTTTTTCTCAAAATTTTAGCAATGGTGGGATTTTCGTACAGTGTGTACATCTCAGTGGTGAATGGGGTCAGTGCTTTTACATAAATTGTACATTTTTAGTAACCTATAGAGCAGAGCATGTTCTCTATAAATTTCATAAATTCAGCCAACAAGGGGGTTAAGGCTTGACTTGTTAATTTCTATCAACCAAAACCTAAGGTTCCACAAGAGAAAACAATAGCAAAACTTCTCACTTCAGTTGAAAAGGTTGTAATCACATAGAGCAAGATACCAGAATCTGCCATTCATTCTAGTGCATTCACCTTGTATCACAACACTCAGCACCCTGGAGAACACCTTGTCCCAGTCTGTCTTTGTCTAACAGAGCCTATAGCCTTGAAAGTAATTATCGTTTCAAATCATTTTTCCCTTCACTGTTTTTGCTTAAATGAATGGATTAACAGATGCAAGACTTCTGTTAATAACTTTTTCAGTTAGATGTAGGAACAAAAGTGATTAAGAATTCTCAAATGGCAAGCCATAAGGCATTATCAATTTAGAGGAAACCAATGCATTTTTTTGCGCATCAGATGTCTGTTGGGAAAATTTTGGTGAGATCTCTAGACATCATCACTATTGCTGTTCCACCTGCTTTACCTGCAGCAATGTCCGTGGGGATTGTTTATGCTCTACAGAGGTTAAAGAAAAAACAGATCTACTGTATCAATCCCTCAAGGTGCATTTAATTTCTGTTATAGAAACAATAATCGAATTGCAATATTTTCTATGAAGGAAGTGATATAAATTCAGATTATATTCTTCAACAGATCATTCATGGATGCCCTTAATCCTTCCAATTAATACTATAAAGTCCTGATAACTCGAATCAGCAAGAGAAATTGAGAATTGTTTAAATAATTAAATGTTATAGTTTACAATTTTGGGAGTTAACAATGCTCTACTTTTTAGTAAATTTTATTACAAGGCTGTTTGAAGTCTGAACCAATCACTTCTTTCATCAATAGAAATACTCAAATGAATAGTTTTGTTTACAGAGCCTCGTTTCCATATTAGAGCTGAGGGCAAGTGAGTAATGGGTTCAATTTGGAGGTGTCCGCATATTTGGAGATTGGAAACTTTTTTTGTGGTTACATACAGCTCCTTCTAGGTCGTTAATGATGAGGGAACCTTTTTTTGCAATTAGTTGGAGAACCTGGAGTACTGTCTTTTAAATATTGTCAGAGGCCACACTTCTCAGTACCTGGTGAGAAGTATGCGGAGCACATATTTCACCACTGAGCTATGTCTTCCAGGTTTGTTGAGACAACCAAGAAGGAGATTTGGGTGATGTCCTTTTCTCACTATCATTTTCCCTTCTTTTTATGGGAAATCAAATTAGATGTTTGTGTTAGACGGACAAGTCTCACTCCCTTTGTATAGTCCATTGGTATTAATTAACCCTATGTGCTTGCTTTGATTTAGAATCAGTGTTTGTGGAAAACTCAAGCTGATCTGTTTTGATAAGGTAAGGTGGCAAAGGAATAATAAGGTAAATTTATATCTCTGCATTACTCTGATTGCTAAATTGAAATTTAAGCTACAAGCCTCAGAGAGTAAAAGCACCATAAAGAAATTCCAGAATCAACCAGAGGTCCGCTATTTGAGGTTAATGAAGAAAAGATGCAGAAAAAGGGAAAAATTGAAATCATATGCCCACACAATCATATCAAGGTGTTCTGCTATTTTACAGATCTTCAATACATCATATTTTCCTCACAAATGAGGAAACTTACATATGCATTCATGGTTTGATTATTTGTACTGTTATCCACACAGCTTCATTTGCATAGACTCCTTTAACCCTTCTTTAAAAAGTAGTCTTTGCCTTTGATGTACATGTGAGCAAAGTGTGAGTTTCTATTTTACTGCAGACTGGAACATTAACAGAAGATGGTTTAAATCTCCTGGGAGTATTGCCAGTGCAATCTGCAAGGTGTGTGTGCTTTATAAGATAATTCTGTTTTTATCAACTGAGTTGAAAGTGAAAATTGACCATGGTAAAGAGTTTCTAATGCAGACGTTTCCAGTGGCTAACGCTCCAAATGTCAGCTGTAGAAACTCTTTACCATGGCCAATTTCCATTATCAATTCAGTTAAGAAAACCAAATTATTATGTAATATATCATGTAACAGCTCCACAGTTTCGTTAGCAACTTACCCCCTTTATTCATTTATTTATGTACTTATGCTTGCTTTATGTGTGGCTGCAGATGACCCAGATATTGAAGTTTATGTTTTAAATGATTACTTTTCTGTGGCTTACTGATAGTTTTGTTTTCACTTCCAATTCCAGTTGGGTTGGTTTAACCCGGTACTGTAACCTATTGTCACCTGCAGAGATGCTAACAGCATACCAAAAATTCTGGTGTAGATTTATGTGAACGCTTCTCATTAGATTATTTTTGTTTCAGATTTGGCACAGTGGTATCAAATGCAGAAAATATTTCTCAAAAACCTATGTTAGCTGCCATGGCAACCTGTCATTCTTTGACAATGATTGATGGTAGATTGAGTGGTGATCCTCTGGATCTCAAGATGTTTGAAGCTACTGACTGGGTACAGTATTTCTAGTACCATTATATATATATATATGTATATATATATATGTATATCTGTATATGTATATGTATATGTGTATATGTATATGTATATGTATATTTATAATAAAGTTCGGATATGACGCGTGCTGTCATTGGTTAAAAGAGCATGCTCTATGAGAGTATAGAGCATAGAACTGAACTAAAGCTGTCACGCCATCTGCCAAATATTGTACTTTTTATAATAAGCTCAGTTATGCACGCATTCTGACTGGTTCTCACTTATGATCTATTGGAGGACAGACGTATAGATGACGTCATCATTAAAACTTTTTTTTCTGTGTATTTTAATTCTTTATTATATAAAACAAATAGATCCAAGTTGCCGTGCGTCTGTTCAATAGTAGATCACAGAGGACGTCAAAATGTGATAAGAACAAAAAAGTGACACACTTGGCCTTACTACATTTTGACGTCATCTGTGATCTATTACTGAACAGAAGCACGGCAACTTGGAATCTATTTGTTAAATATATATATGTATATGTGTATTTGTATATTTAACAAATGGATTCCAAGTTGCCGTGCGTCTGTTCAGTAATAGATCACAAATGACGTCAGAATGTGGTAAGAACAAAAAAGTGGTATACGAGGCGCAGCCGAGTGAGTCACTGATGTGTCACATTTTGACGTCCTCTGTGATCTATTACTGAACAGACGCACGGCAACTTGGAATCTATTTGTTTTATATGGTAAGGAATTTAAAAAACTTTTAATGATGACGTTATCTATACGTCTGTCCTCCAATAGATCATAAGTGAGAACCAATCAGAATGCGTGCATAACTAAGCATAACTAATTATATAAATACATATACATATACATATACTTAACAAATAGAGAAGCCTTGACTGTGCTCTGTTCTGTTGTAAAGTACACAGGAAGCGGCTAGTGCTCGAAAGAAGTGTAGAGGGAAACACGAGACATAGTCGAGTGTTGCTCCTTGCTTCTTGAGTGCTCTAGCCGCGTCCTAAGTGCTTTATAACAGAAAAGAGCACAGTCAAGGCAAAAGCAAATTTTTTAATTATATATATAAAAAAAAATTAAGTTATTCATTTTGGCACCCCCTGTTAAAATCTTTACTATATTGTGATTTATTTTATATGTGATGTCTCTTTATGATAGTTCATAAAAACCTCCAAGAGAGGCCTTGTAACGTGATATTCAGAGGGGCTTGTAAAGACACCTGATAATAAATGATACGTGTGCCCACGCTCTATTTGACAGTGGTGAGCCATATGACCAGTTCTCATAAATGCTTTGTTGAGGAGGGCGAGGAGGAGGGCGAGTTTCCTGGGTGCAAACTTACCCTTTTTTCATTGCAGATTCTCGAGGAGCCAGGGGAAGACAATACAAAGTTTGACAATATAGTTCCCACAATTGTTAAACCCAAAACTGCTGAGGAGTTCATTATCGAGTCTGCTTTAAAAGGGCATGTGAGTAGCGTCTTATTAGCCATTCAGAGTCCTACTGTGAGTTTTCTAGAAGCCGCACAGTCTTTTTCATAAGTTTTACTGGGTTTTATATTAAGCCTTTTTGAAAATTTGATTTTATTTTGTTTCTTCTCAATCTAGACTCCCTATGAAATAGCTGTCCTTCGACAGTTTCCATTTTCTTCAGAACTGCAGCGTATGAGTGTTGTGTGTCGTACTCTTGGTGCCCCCAATATGGATGTTTATGTAAAAGGTGCTCCAGAAACTATTACAAGTCTGTGCCAACCACAAACAGGTTTGTACCGGTAAAGGCACCATGAAAGTCATTGTTAACTTCATTTTTGGCTAGTTTAGAAGTGAATAGCACGCATATTTACTTCCGAGCCGCCGACGAGACAAAATCGTACTTCAAGAGTTTAATTCCCGACCTGTTTTCGGTATATTGAAAGAAATACACTTATTTTTTGGTATCTCCACTAGTTGAATAATTGTTAAATATCACCTGGAGCATCTTAAGTTTTGCTTCAAATAGACTTGAACCTACTACCTTCCCGAGTAGTACTTCGGACGCGTATTACCACCGAGTTATAGGTTAGAGAAGACTCGCGGCAAGCTTGATTTTAACTGGGTTTAAAATCTTGCGTGAATCATGTGGGAATGTCGTCATGTGATGCTTATGTGCAATGATGATGTATATAAAGAGAGTAATTTTTAAGCTTAGTTATCTATGGGAAAGCAGTACCCTTCAGTAAACGACGCAGGCATAGTATGATGAAAAAAAAATTCCGAGTGCTCCCAACAGGATTCGAGGCAACGACCTTCGGAGAAATACTTCGAATGCTCTACCACGCAATTACAGGAGACTTGATTCAATCTAGGCTGTTTAACTAAATCCATGGTGACAAACATTCTGTGTGCTGCTAGAATAGGAATTTCTAGATGTGATGATATAAATGAAGGTGGTAAATTTCAAGCCTGGTAATTTAAGTGAAGGAAGATTTTATTAAGAAAATTACACAGGCATACTTTGATTAGGGAAAAAAATTCCGAGTGCTCCTGTTAGGATTCGGACCTACGACCTTGCGATTTAAAATACTGTGGACGCTCTGTTACTGAGCTATAGGAGACACGCGCAAACTCGGCCGTTTAATTAGGTCTATGGTGTTAAAGTTCCTGCGATGGGTGATATTTTGTTTCTTTCGGTTACAGCCAGGCACCTTTTTAACTTTCATAAAGGATTCTTCTGTTCATCTTTCCATATTCAGTTGCTTTTACGCATACAGATAACAAAGATCACCACATGCAACAGAAATCAGGAGATTTTGCAGCATTTGAAATTTAGGATCAGGATGTTTTGCCTGAAAAAAGCACTTTGGGAGGCTTCTATGGTGACATGTCATAATTGGCTACTCGTACTTTGGCGGGTTAAAGAAGTCAGTTTCAAAGCGTTTTTCTTTTTTTAATATCTCGCACGCATTTCAAAATTTTACCATACGTTTTCTTTAAAACTGTAATCAAAATAATATAGCTTGGTTTGACGTCAAATAATAAATATTTCGAAGAAATTAGCCTTTAAAGATGTTAAAGGAAATTGGTTTTGATATTTGGTTTTATATCCAAGGAACTATGTCAAATGCAGGGTTTGCCCATTTTGACGAAGCCTAACGTTGGTAAACTTTTTTGGTTAGTTCCAGGAGATTTTACCAATGTTCTGCAGCACTATACCACGAAAGGTTACAGAGTTTTGGGTTTGGCATGGAAACCACTGGATTCTAAACTGTCATGGCATCATGTCCATAGAGTTTCACGGTAATGACATGGTGGGGGTAACTATCCATCAAATAAATTTAATGCTTAGCGTGCAGCTAAAACTATTGAGATGCCAGAATTCAGAACAACAATTTGACAGCTTGATTTCTTATAGGGATCGAATAGAATCAAACCTGCAATTCCTGGGACTTTTGATTCTTCAAAACGCAGTGAAACCCCAGAGTTATCCTGTTATAAGAACGCTTCAAAATGCAGATATCAGAACTGTAATGGTGACAGGTAAGACATACATCTCACATAAACGTCTCTCTTTAGACATAAAGCTACTGTCATTTTTATTGTTATCGCTGCTAAGGGCTCCAGTACCAGCATTTCATCTTGTTGCTGTTCAGGACCCACTTTGCTTCATATTTTCTGGTAAAAAAGGCCAGTGCCTTCCCTTCATAATTTTCATATTGTAGCTATCCATTTTACAGCAAAAGTTAGTCCGACGGGCTGTTTGCAACCTCTTGTTACTCTGAGGTGTAGTTCAAACCTGCACCTTTATATTTATGAGCATGTGGATACTCTTTTCAGTAGTTTTGCCACTTTCATGATAGTCTACACAACTCAAAGTAGACAAGATTTGACTTTGCTATGGGATTTATTGTGAAAGCGAAGAAATGAAATATTTTAGGAATATGGTTAGCCTGATTAAGTTAAGCCCATGTAGAATTTGTCATTTTAGCCTGGCTCAGTGAGAGTGAAGTACAATGATCACTATATGGCTTTTACAACCTGTTACTTACAACAGTGTTCGGATTTGATCTGTTTTTCATCACTGGTTAACAATTTTATACAAGAGAATATAATTATATTCTCTTGTTTTACATGTATATTTTGATTTTGATGTCTGAACCTCACTCAACTGACCCTGGTTTACCAAAGCAAGGGGCCGTGATTGATATAATCTACTAGCTCTTGATTTCCTTTAGTTTTGAGAGCTACCCCAAGATTGATTTGTTGTAGGTGATAACATGTTAACAGCTGTGAGCGTTGCTAGAGACTGTGGAATGATTGCACCTACACATCAGGTATATGCATTTATATAATAGGCTGAGTTATGTGCTCATTTTGATTGGTTCTGAAGTATGATTTATAGGAGGACACACGCATAGGTGACTTCATCGTTGACAGTATTTTTGCTTCTTTATGATTAAAAAAAAAAAAAAAAAACATTCCATGTTGCCGTGGGTCTCTTCTGTGATAGATTACAGAAAACTTTGACCGAGATGTAGTAAGAACGTTAATAACACACCGGGCTGCGCCTTTTGTGTCGCTTTTATGTTCTTTCAAAATTTTGACGTCATCTGTGACCTTTTACTGAACAGGCGCAAGGGAACATGGAATATATCTGTTAAATACTTGAATTCATCACCATTTGTCAATAGGAAAAACTAAGCTGAACGGTGAGGCTCTTATTGTGGTTTTAACATTTATATTTTACGTAACAAGTCGTTTTCCAGACGGAAAACTACTCACAAGTGTATACAGAAAACCTACACACACCGACCAGTACCTCGTCTATGATTCGCACCACCCACAATCTGTTAAACGCGGTATTGTCAAGTGTTTACATGATCGAGCTGAACGTATCATCACCAAGCCATCCGAAACAGCCCAGGATAAAAAACAGCTCTCGTCGCCAACGGCTACCCTCCGTCCTTCTTACAGAAGGTGACCAAAACCAGGAATCCAACACCAGAGAGGGAAACAGCAGAATTCAAGTCCACCGCAGTGCTGCCATACATCAAAGGAGTCTCAGAACCCCTCCGCCGCCACCTACACTGACAAGGAATACGCACCGTCTTTAAATCCGACACCACATTAAGATCTCGGCTGGTCAGACCAAAAGACCCCGCTGATCCAAACAAGCAAGATGGTGTAGTCTACAACATACCATGCATATGCGGCAAAGTCTACATCGGGGAAACAGGACGACCCATGCAAGAAAGAATGAAAGAACACGACAGGGATATACGACTCGCACGCACTCAGAATTCCGCGGTTTCAGATCATGCCAACGGAACCGGACACAAGCCATTGTGGAACGAAAGCAAGCTTATTGACCGAAAAAGCCATTGGTACGCAAGGAAAGTGGAAGAGGCAATTTAAATAGAGTCAACTTAAATAACATAGACAGGGACAACGTGCTACCTATTAATTTACATTAATAGGTAGCACAACATTAACTTAAGAAAGTGTTAAAACTCTTTTGTAAATTGTTCTTTAGGTTGTCGAACTAACTGCTAAGCTGAGTGAGGACCACTCTCACGAAATTCATGTCAATTGGTGTGTTGTTGGAGCTGTTCAAAGTCGCAGCCATGATTATAAGACTGAGGTACTGATCTATTGAGAAATTATGGAAGAAAGGTTTATTCCACAGCATTTTGTTGTCATCGTGAGGTCAAGGGCAGATGCAATACAAAGAGGCGACTTTTAAAGTAGACTGGAGTTGAAAATCAAAAGAAATTCCAGAAAGAGTAAGGGTGACTACATACTCTCCATCTTTGCACACTCAGTTCAGGTTCATACCTGTGGTAAATGGTAGTGCTGTTAGGGGTTCTGTATGTTGTGGGCTTGATATAGACTTTAAACTTGATTCTGGGAGCTCAGTTGAGTAGGGGTGTAGAAAGCATTGTCAGCCAAACAGTCGCCTTAGGCAGTTCGAAAAGCCGCAAAACTGTTTCAGTTCAGCACTCTCAATCCCTACGGTATCAACGAACGCTTTTCTTTCAATTAATTAATTCTTGTTTTTCGCATTACTATGTTCCCACCGATGGGGTAGCTCCATTTTCTGTAGATATGAACCACACACGACTCATAATTTTTCGCTCTGACATATAGCTTATACTCTTAATGCTAGCTTTAGAAACTCTCAATGGTGTGTTCTGTCACACGTGTCACGCGTCTAGCGTCACAAACATAGTTAAGCATTGTATTTCATCGCAAGGTATTAGGGTGTTGATTTTCTATGTTATTGTCGGGGATTGTAATTGTCGTGCCCGCCGGCTTTCTCGGTTCACCACGAAATTTTACTTTGAATAAATTTGGTTACACTGTGATGAAGGGCCTACGTCTCGTTTGCTGTGGGAAGCAAGCTAATGGATCAGGCTTCGAAGGATCAGAACATGGTGGCCATTTTACATTATCAACTCAGTTATAAAACCAACTTACGTTACAACAGTTGCTTTGTTTGGCTCTATCTGCACTTGGTAATGTCATCATGATGGATAATAACTGCATACTCAAACCTAAATGCACTGACATTATTATTTTGTGTGCTTTACTAGCGTAATTACATAGATGGAGGAAGAAGATGTATTCACGTGGCAGTTTCAGGGAAAACATTTGCTTTAATCAGAATTCACAAGCCTCAGCTATTTAACAAGGTGAACAATGTTACTCTAGACAGTATACTCCACGAACACAAGTGAGGTCGCAGAAAACTGAAACTAACAATTATTTCTAAAATAGTCTTTGTCCCACGTTCAGCACAAGACGAAAAACATCGTTCTCAATATTAGAATTGTTTCCAAAACTGTCCAAAGCTCTTACCCATTTGCCCGCGTGGCAAACGAATCACAGCACAGGTTTCACATCATCATGTCTGCTTGCGCTGTCAGCTATATAATAATTATTTGTTTTGGTTCCCAAGACAAACAGCTGTGAAAGGGTACATTAAGGGTTTATTCAACAGCACCCGAAACAACATTACAAATGTGATATGTAAATTTACCCAATATTTAACACGGTGAACATACAGTGACATCATAACCAAATTGTCTCAACTAAATGAGTTTCTCTATTTTCTTAAAATTAAGGTTTCCCCGCTAAACAATTGAGACAAACCATCCAGAAATGGATGGATAAAGAGGAAGGTGAACGAAGCAATTTACAGAAGAACTATTGATGTCAAGTCACTTATTCGTATGCAAAAAAACTAGCAGATATCGGCTTCCTTTCGTTGCCTTATACCATACATGATTTGAAGTTTTTCTTTTTTTGTGTATAATTTGCATTAAGTTGCTTATGTCAGGAACTGTATTTGCTCGAATGTCACCTGACCAAAAGACGCATCTTATTCAAGGGTTGCAGAACCTGAAGTAAGTAATGCTGTAGCAGAGTTAACGGAAAAAAGAAGCCTCACTTTTCTCTGTTCTGTTGTAAAGCACGCAGGAAGAAGTTAGAGCACAAAAGAACTGTAGGGGGAGTCACAAGACTTAGTTGTTTGTTTTCCCTACTTCTTTTGTTACGCTTTCTGAATGCTTTACAAGAAAACAAGCACAGTCGAGGTTTTGTTTGTTTGTTTTTTTACGATAAAGAATACATTAAATTCCTCACGTATTTGTATAATTTTCAAAACGAACTCAATTTTCAATAGGAACGGAGATGGCGTGAGCGTGCATATGTTCTCTAAATTTTTTTAATTTTCCTTAAATGTTCCCCATCAATGTCTGGTTCGAAAAATACATTAAAAAAGAGGGGTCTTCTTTGTGAGATATAATTGACCAAACTAACTATCACGCGCGTCATTACATTGGTTCACTGTACATTTTGCGATAGTTGGAAGCAAAGGTTAAAGTAACACTTGAACAAAACTTTACAGGCCGAAAGTCCCGATCGTATCGAACGATTTGATATATTTGATGTGGAAAATCGCGCATTTTTAAAATAGCTAATTGCATGGAGCGAAGGAGAATTAAGGATTAATTTCACGGGCTGCGCGACTCATGCATTTTCTCTATACTTCAGAAAACACGTGATGTTAATCCTGAATTTTACCAGGACACAAGTGGTTTCTTGTTTACAATATAAAGGCCAAAGTTTTCTTTCATGAAGAAGATCAAGACCGCTCGTTGTTACTCTCGTTCTTAGGAAGCCATTGTTGGGGCAAATTTTTCCCTTCGTTTTCGTTTGCTCACTTGTCATCGTATACCTTTTTTTTTTTCTTTTTGTTCTTCTGTAATTTGTTAATTACGCTGCTTTGTTACGTGCTGTATGTAAATTTAGTTATATAGTTTGTTGTCTCCAACCACCAATGCCAGTTATTCTCAGCATTTGGTAAGCGGCCTCATTTTCATCGTTTTCTTTGATTTCGTTTTGCAGTGGCCTTTTGGTAGTTTGTCTGATTTGTAATTATTAATTTTTCGCTCTTGAAGGAATTTGCTTTTTTCTAACGTTATAGTAAAAACATTTGCTGAGACATCGTGTTGTGTTTTCTTCGAATTGGCCCTTGCCTGTTCAGCTATTACAGTGTTCATTTAGTGTATTAAGTGAACTGTAAAACGCACAAATCAGCTGATTTTTGCACAATAACGCCAAAGCAATGAAAGCAACCTAGTTGAAAACAGTTGCCGTCAATAAAATAATAAAATTTTTTAGGCGAAGTTAAGCCTTTTTGAACATTGTCTAAACTTTGGTAATTTCTTGGGGCAATTACCAAAATTAACGAAAAAAACCCCGCTGTCTCAGCCAATCAGCTTTAGTAATTTTGCCCTCTATGTTATGAAGGTCAGAATTTGCATCCTCGAGTACTTTTCCAATTTAAAGGGGGTAATTTGCTAACCAAAATTTACGTTTAAGGGCAAAAGACCATTGTACTTTTTTACATGGTTCATTGATTGAAAAACAACGCCGTGTCCCGGAATGCACGCGCATCTATTCGCCTGACAACGTAACTGTGGTATAAAACCGTAACTTATTGGCCAGTGACAGCAAGGATCCAATAGTTGTTAATTAACTCTTGATATGCTGTTTTTTTGTCTTAAACGTAGTTACTGTGTTGGGATGTGTGGAGATGGAGCTAATGATTGTGGGGTAGGACAACAACTCTGATGATACTGCATGATAATTGATAGATAGTTATATCAGTACTAGAGATGTAATGTAACAATTAGGATTGATACTGAAATTGAATGGAAGAAAAAAGTGGCATAAGGGTTTGATGACAATCTCACACCACTGGGGTTTAAAGAAACAATAATCGCAAAAAAATGCGCAATTCTTCGAAGCATGTGCATTTTGTTGTGCCCTAAAGTATTTTGTATTGTTTGTATAGGCTCTTAAGGTGGCACATGCAGGAATTTCATTGTCACAAGCAGAAGCATCTGTGGCATCTCCATTTACTTCAAAGGTTTGTTTAGACTCTATTACCCCTTCGTAATTCGCTCTGGCTAAGGACTAACAAACGAAACGTCGGCTTTGGAAACTCTCTACGGTGGCCAATTTACATTGTCAACTCAATTGATAAAACCAATTTATCTTGTAATACCCCTGGCTTTCTTTAGAAACTTACCCCATTAAATAATATCGTTGTACGAGAGAACGCGGCTCTGCAACAAAGAGCATGGACAGGCTTCTTTATTTGTGTCTTCTAGTATAGATCATATGTTGTTTAGACAGACGTTTGCGAGTTCAAAAGAAGCGGATATAGGTATGAAAGTTGCCCAAAACACAGATTCGGGGGACTACAGTTTGCTTGCAACTTTGTGAGGCATGAAATGAAACCGGATGAACACCATACATTTTCGCTTTTATTAAGATATTTTTGAAACATTAACACAATTCAGCTTAGAAGATAACTGAGAAAAATCACTGAAAGGCACAGAAATGGAAGTTAACCAATGAACATTATTTTTATTTAGATTCCACATATTGAATGTGTACCTGCTGTAATAAGGTAAATGCTCGAAGTTGCTATTACATAATCAGTAAACTCTTAAAACCAACATTCCATATTCTCCAGAAATGTATGATAAAGGTAATGTCTTAATGTTAATACCTTAATGTTAATGGAAGTATCCTTGCGTGAGATGTCGGCCCCAAAATTGTCAACTATAAGAGTTTGTTTGTCTGGTTGGTTTTTTTTTTCAGGGAAGGCAGAGCAGCTCTGGTAACATCATTTGGAATTTTTAAGTACATGGCTCTTTACAGTATTGTGCAGTTTGTCTCTGTTCTCTTACTTTATTCGGTATGTGCCACTTATAATCTTTATGTCAATTATTTTTCTGAAATTAGGTCTCTTGAAAGCACAAGTTGTGTTTGTGAACGGCAGCCAGGCAATTTTGATAACTGGAAGAAATTTAAACTAATTCATTTCTATTCATTTTTGAATGATAAACCATGCTTAGAATATGTGTTATACTCGAAAAATTTGTTCCACCCCCAAAAATTAGCCAGATTTCTTTCAATCATTCTTATTCAATGTCTTGCCTTGTTTTCAGTTTGTAACAAAATGCACCCGAGTTTATTGTCGTCCATCCTAAAAACCATGAACACCTGAAACATTTAAGAAAATTTTGGGTTATGATCAATCAGACTGGAGTTCAGAAATTAAAAGATGCACAAAATCTTCACAGTTGATGCTTACAGTTGTAGTTCTCTCTTGAGAAAAAATGACAATCTGAGATTATTTCTGGTTTTTGCGGGTTTTGAGTTTTACATTGATTGTAGTGTATTGAATGGTAAGTTGGCTAGAGTACCCGTGTCCCCACCGATGAGTTGTCGGCCCCTTCGTCGGAATTTTCTTTTTTTCCTAGTTACTTGGTTGAGTGAAAATTATCTTAAAAAGAGTTTAAATCTATCCCATCTCGGCATGTTTAATGGTCCAATTCCTCTCACCTTTTCCTTATCCTCGCATTTGAGGAAAGTTTAGGGTAAGGTTAGTGACAAACACATCCTTAACTAAATACTACAAGAAGCTCAGAGTATTTTTTCTGTCATAAATTTGCACATGTAAAAAATCACCTTTGATGTAAGTTTCTCTCTTTCTTTGTACAGATTTCTTCTAACCTTGGTGACTGGCAGTATTTGTACATTGATCTAGTCATTATTACAAGCCTGGCTCTTGTCAGTAAGTTTATTGCCCTTCGTGTTTTAAGCTTTGGATGATGGTTTCTTCAAATGAATTCCATCAGTTTGCTTTTTAAATAAGTATGGTCCGCTTGGGAGATAGTAATAAATGACACAAATGGTCCCCTTGTGCCGTTTCAGAGAAGGGGCTTTTCACCCTAACATGCTTGCGCACAGACAGTCCAGTTAGGGGCGTTTCGCGGACAGGTTCTTATGGATCGTCCATTTCTGAAATGCCGGACGAAGCCTCGATTTCCTAAAGGGGAGGTCCATTCAGGCGTCTTTTTCTCGCATGGCCGTATACATAGACACCTTTACTAGCCATAGAGGCGTTGTCAGTGGATGTGGAGGTAATCCCATGGGAGTGGGTGTGTGCATATTCTCCAAGGGTCCTGATGCAACGAGTGCGCTACTAGTTGATATAATAGAACCAGTCTCGATTGTCGCTAGTTGTTGCCCCATATCATTACCAACTATGGCTTTCGATACTGTTTAGTTTGAAGCAGTCCCTGATGAGAATGTTCCACGGCCCTCTTGAACAGTGTCATTAATCAGCGTGGACTGCAAGAACGACAGTTCTCTGAAGCAGTTTTCCATCACCTCTATCAGACAGTTTGGACGTCGTCAACAAAACATATAAATGTGAATGAAGTCTGATAATTAAGGTCGTGCAGAACTGCTTTCCAGGTTCTACTTAGCAGTTAGCAGAACTATTTAAATTTCTTTTCTTGCCACGCGAACCTACCCCTCTTACCATCGTGGGCTAAAGGTCAGCCACAAGTGCAGTTACCCGGTCCCTGGGCAGGAATTGCGACACGGAATATTTTGTCGTTGCCATTTACGCCTTAACATACGACAAACTTTGCATTAATTAACATCGCTGATCCTAACATTTTTAATTGTAGCGCAGTTAATACATCTATTCCTAGGTTATAGAAATAAACCCAGTTCCGACAATGTGATCAGTAATTGATGAAGACAGCAGTATTTTTGAGGCAGTGTCTTGGACTTTTCTTGTCTCTGCGTTACCGCTTCGCCTCAAAATCCCTATACTTTTCCTGACACGGTGAAGGCTATGTGCTAAAAAAACCCATCATGTTTCTTATTCGAGACTTTGGTCGGCGAGGTATTCAATATGAGACTAACTCGCCTCGTAACACGATGTTTTTCTACTCATTTGAAAGTCTGGGCTAACTCTACCGAATTGTTGTTATTTCCCGCAAGAAATTTGATAATCAACAAATTTAAACCATGGTTAATTTTGCATAACCATGGTTTCCAATTTGTCTTAGAGAAATTGAAAACAATGCTTAAGCAAAATTTGATCTTTTAACTTTTGTTTCTTGTTTTTTTTTAGTGGGTAAGACAGAGGCGTATCCAATGTTGGTGGCTAAGAGACCTGGAGGAAGTCTTATGTCTCCAATCGTTCTTTTTTCACTGATATCCCATATTGCTGTACAAACTGTCGTGCAGGTTGCTGGATTTTATTACGTACGGTCCCAGTCATGGTAAGACGACAAATAATTTATCGTTAATTTAGGTTTAACTTGTGGATTTCTTTAATTTTTTTTTCAATCTGCCAAAGGAATTCTACTCGATTTGTTGGAAACTTCAGCAGATATGAAGGTTTCTTCGTGCGATTTCTTTTGCAGAAATTTACCTGTGGAGATCATTTTCTTTTGTGCTTCCCTCTCTTAGACACCTGTTATATCAGGAATGCTTATCTGCTTCTAAACGATGTACTCCTCTGTGCTTTTACATACATCATGATGGCCAGTCTTTTGTTCAATTTTTTGACAGCTATACTTTCTTTTATCGCTCATTACGCGTAAACTTACATTTTTCCAGGATTTTGCAGTTCCTCATTTGCCTCTAATGAAAATTCCTTTAGTTGGATGTGCGTGATTAAAAGCTGTGTACTTTTTTTCTAGGTTTAGCGCCGTCCACGTTACTGAAAAGAATGCTACATATGTGAAATGTCATCAGAATGCTGTTCTGTTTGCACTGTCTTCTTTCCAATATATACACTTGGCAGTAGTCTTCTCTGGTGGAGCCCCTTATCGTAAACCATTTTATAAAAGTGGTATGTAAGATTCTTCACTTATCCGATGAAACACGTGTCGATCGAAGTCGTTCAAAATTCATATAATGGTCATATCAAATGTAACTTGAATCTTGTCAGGAGTAAAACTTAGTTTTCAGTTTATTTTGCTTCTCTTTCCAGGATATTTTCTATTGGTCGTGGTATTTCTAACCCTGTTTACAGGATTTTTAGTTGTTCTTCCAGGAGAAACGTTGCAGCTTTTTTTTGAGGTAATGTATTTTCAGTCAAAGTTAATTTTTTAATTTTTATATTGAAAGTCACTTTATGGGAATAATTGCGATTGTAAATAAGGAATGTATACTTGACATACTTACTCATATAATTCAGGTGCTGATGTAATAGGGAACTGATGTAGTAATAACGCCTTCATTCTGTTTTTCTGTTAATAATACGCCAAATTATGCACTATAGTACACCTTGTCGATTATTAGCATTTCCACTGTCTGGTTGTCAGTTATCAGGTTTTTATGACAACCTTTAACTGTTGCATCCTATTGCTTTATTCACATTACGTGAGGTGTACTCGATGATCTGGTTCTGCTACCTCGATTTTCGAGTTAGTATTGATTACAGCGGTACTTTTACTAGCAAACTGAAGATGTGAATATCTGTGGGCCTTGCAGAGGTCCACCAAAGATAGTCACCTTGTTATTAAGGAAGTGTCAGATCTGAGGGGCGCCAATCTCCAGACATGCGTTGCCTTTTGCGGGTTGAGTTAAAAACTAATCAAGTTATTATTAGCCTCATGACACTTTTGACAAATCTTTTTTATGAATTATTCGGCCTCCTCTTGCATTCTTTAAAAGAGAAATAACCGCATATGCGTTAAGAGACGAAATGCAAAGGATAGCTTTGAGGTCGGATTGCTATTGCCCGTGTTAATAATAAAGATTTTTTTTAGTGAAGAAATGTAAAATGGTTTCCGTGTTTACATAGCCTGATGTAAACACGCGGGAGGTTGGGAGAACACGAGATAAGCGTAGGAAACCACGACGCGAAGCTGAGTGGTTTCCAGCTTATCGAGTGTTCTCCCAACCTCCCAAGTGTTTACATCAGGCTATGTAAACACGGAAACCATTTTACATTTCTTTTATAAAATAACTAATGAAGGAGGAACGAAAACCGTGTTTACCTACGCTCATGTAAAATGGTTTTATGGCCAATCAGAGCGCGCGTACTATTTGAATTATTTTATAATAATGTTTGGTGCACACTAGGATGTACACTTAGTATACCACAGCAGTACTTACAGTGCACCACTTTCAGAGCTCCGTGGCTGTAGTAATTCGTTGTTTGATATTCTCTAAAAATCAACTGAGTAATAGATTGTTTGCCCGATTGATTGATTGATTGTTGTTGTTGTTGTTTTTTTTTTCAGCTAGCAACGATCCCAGATAAAATCTTCAAGTGGACGCTTCTTGGTATTGCGGCATGCAATTGTCTCATTTCTCTTTTCATTGAGGTTAGTGGAAAGTCATCTACTGAATTTGGCTGTTTTTTCGATAAACCAGACCAGTTCGTTTTATGAACTGCTACAGTTATTCTTGTACCACGCCATCCTTACCCTCCATGGACGAAAAAGGGTCCTTTGGCGAAGCCTAAGTCATCTCAGTTTCAAAAAGTTTGCATTTTTCTGGCAAAACACTATTTCAAACTGCTAAGTTCAATAGGAAGTGCATATTTTACTCTCACTCTATAATGACACTGTAAAACGATTGAAATCGTATCACTTGTATTCCTCATGTATGTTAAATTAAGAGAAACCGACAGTACTGGTCTAGCATTCATAGCTTACAATAGCAATATTTAGTAACATAGTAAAGTTACCACCCTCTCAGTATCTCAGTATATTGTGCGATAAAATCCACTGCTTATTCATACAAATCAATTCCATAAGTATCAGATGGGGCGAGTGGGTTTACTGATTGAGCGTGTTGTTGGGTGATACTCCTTTGCGATATCGACATCATGGACAGTTATTAGTGACGAGCTATTATTAAGAGGACAAAGCGATGTATCAAATCCATTCTATTCTCAAAAGGCAAAACTGATCAATAATTCAGTTATGTTAAGTGCTCTAGTAAGTTCATGATTACCTATGTTCCTCATCTCCTCATCCAGATTTGCACTTTGGTCTGCTTTTTTCTTTGCGAATCGGGGGTTGGTGTCATACGTCAGTTTGCTATTTCTATTCAAGATTCTTACCTTTTTCCAAAGTCTGAAACGGGTCAGAAAGCACGTTGTAACAATTCTCAAAACTTTCCTCTATAATCGCTCGATTGTTTCAATTTGAGCCGACATTTTAACAAGATAGCCCCCTTGCAATCTTTCTTAAGTAGTTTTCACCGCCTAATTTGATATTTACTTCAGATAGCCAAACAAATTGCTGTTCAGCACCTAGACTAACAGGTTTTTCTTTAACCAGGAAATAGTTTGGAGGAATAACGCATTTCTTCTTTCCCACACTTTCAACGTTTCTTGACACAGCTTTTTCTTTCGTTTACAAACAAAACATAAGTATTTGAATTTTGGGGCTCATGATGAGCAAATCTCAGTCATTAACAATAACTTTACAATGATACAATCTAATAAGAGTGTCATGAGCGGTATTTTGAAATTTGCCATCGCTAACAACCGTATATACCCCCAATTGCAAGAAATTCATTCAAAGAACATAAACTATGAATGATAAAGGGGCACGTAATCAATAATTATATTGCGGATCATTTTTACAGCTCGTTATTCTTAACAAATAGCAAATCTGCCCTTTGATGTATAGAAATTATTTAGGGCTCTATGTACTTCGATCTTAATGTTTGTTTGTTTTCTCTTCTGTGTACACAGATGTTCATTGTTCCATCACAATGGCTGAAGAAAGTACTCAATCGTCTTTTTTGCAAAACTCGCCCAAAAAACTACTTCCGAATTTTGCAGCATCAACTTGAGCATGATTTTGACTGGCCTCCTTCTGAAAGCTAATTCTAAGTTAGTTAGACCTTCATTTGTATCTTCAAATTGAAACTTAGCTGGAAGTTCCTTGTGATGTAGTTACTAATTCCTGTTGGTTACATTTCTCTCGGTTTTAATGTGGCGATGTTAACGACGAAACTGCTCTTTATGTTACTAATTACAGCAGAACTTACCGACCAGACTCGTAGATCCTTTCTCTTAAATTTTATCAGAGGAGTGGATTCAGCTTTAGATTTGTCTGATTTTACCGGAAATGCAGGAATTCGCGTTTTGAATGGACCATGCTAATTTGAATTTCCAAATTTAACTAACCAGGAAGATGATGCCCATTTAGAGATGCCATACAAGTTACTTGTGGTACAAGTTTGCATATATTCTCTATTAATGACATAATCTCAAGTTATCAGGGAAAGGTATAAATCAAGCAAATTAAGTAGAAAAGAGAAAAGGCTTGCCATATGACAACATTAGAGAAAGCAACAGTATAACCCTTTCATGAGAGTATGTTCCTGTATGAGAGGATACTAAGTCAGATATGGCATGCAAAGGTATTTCATGAGTCTTATCGTGGACTGTGTGTAACTATGCCCCCTCTATACGTATGAGAAATCGAATAAACGCGAATATAATTCGTGTCTTATGAGAGCGAGTTATGTTTTAAAGAATTTCTCAATTGAACAATCTTTAGTCAAATGCACTTTTAAAATTCTACAAAACATTACGAATTATAACAAATGATGGAGTGTAGGAGCAGCTCTTGCGATTTTGTTGTTTTGTCCATAGATGGTTACTTCCTCATGCTACTTTTCACGTTTTGCGTGCACATTACTGCGATCCCTGTTCACTGTTGTCTTTATACAAAAAAATTGTAGTAATCGTGACAGACAAACCAACTTTAATCCCGCGAACGACGTAAATTTGTAAAGAAACTGTGGGGACACTTCGGTTTGGGGTATTAAAAGATGATGTGGTTTTATTAACTGAGTTTATGATGTAAATTGCCTATGGTGAAATGTTTCTAAAGCCGAATTTCGAGCGTTACCTATTCGTCAGACCGAAGGACTGAAAGGCTAACGCTTGAAACGTCGGCTTTTAAAGGTTTACGGTCAATTTGCCACCACAACAAACTTGCCACCACAAAGCTCGCCACCACTTAAAGTCAAATCTTCACCGGTGGTGATTTGACTTTCAGTGGTGGCGAGTTTGTTGTGGTGGCGAACTGACCGAATACCCTCTTAAGACTCTTTGCGGTGGTCAAGTTATATTATCAACTCAGTTGATACAACCAAAGAAATTTTTTAATTTGATCTTAGCTCGGCCCTACCGGGCCATTTTCCTGTAACTAAGTTGTATAGCGTTCGAAGTACCAACCAGAAAGGCTTAGGATCGAATCCTATTGGGAGCACGTGTATCTTTTATCTCCGTGTATGCCTGTGCCATTCAATGAATAACATCTACCTTCACTTAAATCTTCAAGCTCAAAATTTACCATCCTCGTTGACATCATTGTGCACAAGCATCACATATCGACCTTCATATCCACGCAGTATGCAGGAAGTTTGTCAACATGGACCTACAATCAGCTTCAAAATCAGTTTACACGTCATATTGATAGAGTCCTATTTTATATGTAGAGTAACACTCTTGACTCTACAACACCCTAAATCATAGAAAAGACTCCCTTCCCCCGTTCAATGTTGCCTGTGTGTGGCTAAAAGCTAATAGAATTACCATACAACATTGTTTTGGGGGAAAGAGGGTTAACTTAAAATAGAGTAAAAGAGGTAAAAGGGGGTTGAAAAGGCTAATGTGTCAACAATTGTGTCGCCGATTGTAGTTAAAAGGCGTCCGGTAGCTCAGTGGTAGAGCGTCTGGAGTACTAATCAGAAGGTCGTAAGTTCCACTCCTATTGGATGCTTTCGGGTTTTTTTGTCTCGTCTAGTAGCACTTTCCTTTACTTAAATCACCAGGATTAAAATAAACCATTTTCATTTACATCATCATTGTGCAGAGGCAACACATATCAGCCTTCCTATCTTCCTAGTAAGCAGGAAGTTTGAAACCATGGACGTGCTTTAAAAGCAAAGTGCTCTAGCTATGTACCGATCTGCCCAGTGTGCTGTAGCTTCATACAGACATTTATAAAAGCACAAATGTTATTTACAGTTAACATTTCCGATTCCAAAATGCTGGCGCAACGTCACACCACAAAAAAATAAAAGGAATAACCAGCCCTCGAGATAGCGAACATTTTGGTTGTTTTTCGGCAAATTCGTTGAAAAGAGGTTTTCGATATAACGAACCCTCGATGTGAGAAACCAATTTTCCCAGCCCTTGGCACTTCGTTCAATCGAAGTTCTACTGTAACAATGCTACAGACCACCTCCCAACGTAGCGAGAAGTGGATAGGTCACACAATTAAGCTCTCTGCTAATGATGTTTAATTGAGTGTCTGAGAGGATGAAGATACGAAACTATACATGCCTTAAACCTGATCCATTTCTGTGAATCTCCCTCTTTTGTGTCAATCAATTTCTATCCTGAACCATGAAGATTATTTTAATTTATTTCATGCTACTGAGGTCGATGAACAAACTGACTCTATCTCCTGCATAGAGGTCAGTTGCATTCATTAAACTGGTCCCTTTCCCGAATCTTCTCCAGACTTCTTCCCAAGGAGATTTTGTATTCATTCCCTGGCTGTACACTTTATTCAGAATTACGTTCACGACCACTTTCACCTCAGTAAAGTCAGTGTTGAATGTCTTATCACTATCTCTCAATCCTGCCGTGCATGGCTCGTAGAAGAGGAGTAGGAGTCCTTCCATTAACCTCCTTGTAACATTGATGCTCTCTTTGATGATCGTGTCAATTCCTTTTGCAATTGATAATGTCTTGTGATGCTAAACACACTCACACATGAATGACCAGCCATTTAAGAGAATGATCTCGCTTCATCGGCAAGTGAATCACTTTATACTCAAGCCAGTTGTTGCTCAGTACATAGCTGAGCTTTTTTGAATCAGATGTCTTCACAACTTTGTTGGCAGGTGTGAGTCTGTGTTCAAAAACGAGATCATTTAGAAATCCTTTCGAATCGAAGACTCGATAATCTTTCAAAGTCTCACGATCCAATGGAACTCTGAATTTGGTTCAGTAAATTGAACTCAGTTTGTTCTCTATACAACTCCGGAAGTCTTCTTGTCTCCAACATTGCATCTGATCTTTGAAAGATCTTCACACTGAAATCCCACCCTCAACATATTTTCTCTGTCATGCTTAGTAAAGAGGAGGTCTTCATAGAGCTTAGTCATTTGTACCTTGCAAGATTTATCCTGCAAATTTCACGGTTAATCTATAAAAGAGGGCTCTTAATACATCTTAATACAAGAGATAACTTATTAAGGAGGAGGTATAGATATCATTTATGTACAACAACGACAGTAAAGGTCCTAAGACTGATCCTCGTGGGACGCCATTGAGACAACACTCTTTCTTGGATACGTGAGCGCCGACCTGAGTAGTTTGATGTTTACTACCCCACGGATTCCATAACGTTGAAGTTTTTGCAGTAGGATTGAGTGGTTGACTGTGTCAAGAACTTTCTTTAGTTCAATAAAAATGCCTCAGGAGAATAGCTTCTTATCAATATTGAGTTGGATCCTGTTGATAATATCAATGAGTGCGTGCTGTGTAGAGCATTTTTCCCGAAAACCATACTGGTGACGGTACAATATACTGTGTTTATCCAGGAAACATTTTGAGCGATTAAACATAAGTTTCTCAAAGATACGATTAATAATTGACGGGAGGGGGATTGGCCTGTAATTATTCGAGTCCAATTCATCCTCACTCTTGAAAACTGCGATAACTTTGGCATGCTTTAACTTCGAAGGGTATATGCCAGTTTCGATCGGACTATTCATAATTAGAGTAAAAGGCTTAGAAACAAGCTGACTAGCAGACTTAAGAATTCTAAAGGGGCAAGAATACAAGCCTGACGATTTATTTACAGGAAGATACTTTATTCCTTGCTCAACTTCACCAGACGAAACTGGATCAAAGGTAAAAGGTTCTGGGAACGAAATTTAATGCAGATAGCGAGAGAATTTTACTGAATTTGGAATTTTGGGTGCAAATTTATTCCCTATAGAAGCAAAATGTTTATTGAGAATATCAGGAATTTCAGATGGATCAGAAGAAAGGCTCTTATGATCTTGGCGTTTATTTGATCAATTTCTCGGCGATATGACGACATTTTCTCAAGCGATTCGTCGTTAAAATTTGCAAATTTTTGGTTTTTGGGCCATTCGAAGACGAATTTCGGCGGGGCACAATGTGTGCACTATCAATGTCGTTAAGTGTAACATCAGCACCTATGGCATTAAAAAGTCGAATAGAAAGTTTAGCCGTTTGAAGAGCAGGTTCTCGCTTAGTCGGATCAATCTCCGGGACTATATTGTACTATATTATAACTATAATGTACCAAATCATCCAAGACTCCCGCCATCGACTCCCTAAGATTCTTTAGAGGATCGAGGTCTGCTTTAGCCGAACGGCAGAAGGCGGACAGGTCACCGTATTTGTTACTGACGACGCTTTGACTACAGCAGGATCTGGCGCTGACCTTTCTTCGTGCGATCTTAACGACTCCTGTAGACGGCCAATTTCGTGGCGCAAAGTTCTCAGCTCTTTCATCATAGCGTCATTCTGGTGCTGAGGAGCTTTAACTTTAGTGTTATTTCCTCTTCCAGACATATTCTAAGATTATTTTGAAACTAAGTACGGAGCTAACTGAAAACACGTCCTCTCACTCAGAGGTCCCTGGGAGAGTTGCAGTGGAAACTCAGGTGACAGTATTGTGTTTGATCAACGTGAGAATAGCAGTGAGAAGAAAGTTGAAGCATCATCATTCACGACCACTTAGATACTGTCAGTAGTGGGTATAGTTCTTTCACTGGTTGGACTCTACTATATAAAAAAGCCACCAGTAGAAACCAGAAGCCTTGCAGCGAGTCGAAGACCGACCAGGTGCTCAATGAACTTTCAGTTGGAGGTAGAACACAGGAGTAAGACTAATGGATTGAAAATTATCAGGATTATTTTAAATAAAATAAAGTCTGATAATAAGCTCATGAAAACATTGACGGATGCCGTAACCATAACAGGGATCACAGCTGCAGCTGGATATGGATGGATCGCAAAGTAGTTGATCAAAGAGCCAATTACTTCTAATCTGAGGTCTAATTTCATGAGTTATGCTAAGTTCACTGTAGTTGCCTTAGCTTCTGTTGCAAAAAAACAATATCTTGAAGATAATAAAATTTTGCTAGATTGTTAAAAGTGGCTAGCAGATTCACAACAGTTGTTCTAAAGTTTGGAGACCTCTAGTTGCTTGCGCGGACAGCTTCATTGCTTTCTTTGGGATTGGCTGCTAGTCGTTTCGAGTGAGCTATTTCAAAATGGAAAGTACGTTTTCAGGAGTTTACGATATTTTATTGCTATTGAAAGGATTGCATGGAGTAAAGAAATTAGCATAAAAGGCTAAATTTTATGAAGATGTTGCAAAACTTTGGTTAATGAAGTATGCCATTTGGCAGAATTACTTGTTTGCTCCTAAACATATTGCGAGACCGACTTTTAAC